TTATTGCTTTTTGTTTTCTGGAACTGTAATCACATAACTTGAATTTCAGCAGTCACGTATGATAATAGGTGCTAAGCAATCTGGAAATTTATCGAGTGGTTCACTTTACGTAGTTCGTCCACAAAACTCATCAATGCCTATCCGAAATTCCATCCAGCCGCCTTATGTCAACATTATCAATAGTGGACGTTTGCAACAATCAGCGTCGTTCAATCGTTCAGCGCAGCAGAATACCTATTTCGTCTCGAGTGGAACAAATTCGCCGGTCAGTGACATTGGAAAATTTTGTTGTTCTGGTTATAAAAGTATTTTTTTAAAGAGGTTTAGATTGATGTTATTAAATGTCCCTACAGTCACTGAATGTGAGGAGCATTTCGATTTTTATTCATACACCTCTGTTTTCGTTGGTTCATTAACATCAGCTAGGTTGTTTAATCTAACAGCGGAAAGTTTGACTTATGATTATTTTCACTTATTTCAAATTCTTTGTCACTATTACTGGTTTATAATTTTCCGTGTCACCAGAAGTAATGTTTTTAGACAAATGCATATGTTGGCCGACCGAGCGGATATAAGAAGATGATCGTTGCAGCAAGTCAGCGGAGTACTTCAAGTTCAACAACTGACAATTTTAGAAACTCTTGAAAGAGTTTATTCATTTTTGAACTCTGCCAGGTCGCTTTTCATGGTAGAAAATCGGTTAAACAAGTTGATCTCAGGATTCCTTTTCTTTTTATCCAGTGTTTAGAAAATAAGTTTTATATATCGTTTTAAATTTATATCTCACATAGTGAAATAAACTTAGATCACCTCAAATGTAACATGATTTATGTTTTGTAATTTTTTTCTGCAGCCGAAAAGAATGAGTGATGTCGTTTCTAAGTATACAAGGGGTTAGATTTCTCGTTTAGCATAAGGCTGAATATCTTGAAATTTTAAGAATTAAGATTGTTTTTAACAGTGATACTCCAAGTTTTTTAAATTGTTTTTTGTAATAAAACTCTGATAGATTTAATTATTGAGAAATATTTTTGCCACTTAATTCATGATATTTGCCATTCATTTGTTGGTGTTTTACATCTGAATTACAAAGATAGATTGAAATGAACTAGTAACAATAATTAAAATGGTTAAATTCATATGTTACTTTTAATTTAAGAATATTAGTTTTATAAGTATTATTAAATAATTGTAAGATTTATCAGTATTTCAGTATTGCAGCACAGTTGTGATCTCAGAATCTGCAGTAGTCATTTTGAGTCAGACAAGTTCTTTTTTGCCAACTTCAGCTGGTTTGTTTTTTCATACAACTCTCGAAATTGAAGATATGTCTGAACGCTTTCAAGAATTACTTCAACTTAACTTATAATTGCAAAATTGAGAAATTTAAGCTGTTTTCATACTTTTGTGAAAATGAGGCATATTTTAAGTAAGCTTTTGGGATTAATGGGATATTAATTCTGTTGTAAAATTCGTTTCATATGAATTCAGTGACGCTGTTGGCTTCGTTCCAAGTCTTTGGTTTTTAAATGAATCATCAATATATAATATAAATGTTATATGATCTTATCGCGTGTTCATATATTGTATTTCGTGTATTTCATATTTGGTTTTGTTGTTGAATTTTCGTGTTTTCATTATAATCAAGATTCGAATGCTCATTCATGTATTTGTCCTTTGCAATGTTCAAATGCATTAATGACGTATCCAGGATTTCATCCTTTTCAAGAAATCTTTTGCTAGTTCCAGTAATAATTGTATGATTTTTCCTTTCCTATTTTTTAGATATTATTATCATGATGTGTTGAAAATCTTTTAAAAAATATTTAGAGATACGCGAAAGGGTAAAAAATTTATTTTTAAAATCTGAGGGCTTGTTTGTAGTTAAATAATTTTTTGCATTTTCAGTGTTCACTAGTAATCCTGTTTTTAAATCTCCATGTTGTTCTCAATATAGAAAAGATCCTGGGTACACGACTGGTTACCTCATGTTATCGAAAGGGGATGTGCATCGAAATGTATATTTATTGTTGAGATTTAAATGTCATGTGATCTTATCATGTGATTCAAAGGAAGCGAATTGTTGCTTACTTTTTCAAAATTTCTCATATAATATAAAATTAATGGAATTCACTTCCTTCAGTCATGAAATGATTTTCATGGACAAAAGCAGTTAGTGAAACGCAGGAAAATACTTATTCCATGGGAGTGCAAAAATTGTTTGTCTTTGGATGTAAAGTAGTCTAAATTAACTTGTGGATGTAGTATTTTCTTTGCTCTCATTGTTGATTCTGTAATTTGCTCAAGGGATAGATGATATTATTAATGTACAAAGTGTGCCAAATACTATGCTCAACACGAAAATAAGTTTGTAGCTTAATTTGATGGATGTGTCAGGGCTTCTGATGGATTAGTCAAAAGAGGATTTATTCATGTAACCTGTCAGGGATATAGTCCAACAGTTTTTGCTGTTTTCAGATTGCGTTCAGTATGATTATTTGCAATCGATCTTAATAAAGATATTGAGGAATATTGTATTTTTCTAAAAATCTTTTGCACTATTGGTGTTCACTTAAAGTATTCTTTATGAAATAGAATCTTTAGCTTTATTTGAACTTGGCAGTGAGGTTGTTTGTCATTGCTAGGATCCTAGACAGGATTGCGATCAGGGATGGCATAGGATAGTTTGTTAGTGTAGATATTTTTTATCTATTCTCGCATAAACTTTGCCTTTGTCAAGTCATTACTCATATCTTGAGGTTATTAACGAATAAATAAGTGCCTTTTAAAGAGAAGATAATAATTCATGCAGCGTTTTCATTTTATGGTGTACTATTTTAGCTATTTGGTTGTTTGTTGTTCACTCATGTTTGTTTGTGTTAACCATGGTGGTTTTTCCTGTTAAATGAAGTAATCGTCAGTATAAGCATTCAGCAATTGCAATCATCACGGTATTCTATCATTATTATCGTATAGAACAAGGAATTATCGTGTAGCCTAAGACACAAAGGAGTCTCATTGTGAACATGAAGCTTAATTTTATGATAATAAATATCGTAGCCAGTTTGAGGGAAGTAGCATTTTGGACTGTTAGTTTTGATTGCTGTTGTTTGCTTAAGGACATAAAGAATGTAAAATTTGTTAAGATACTCGTCATGCTGCACTTATAATGAACTGTTACTAAATATCTGGAGGGCTATGCGATGATAATTTGGCTAATGTAGAGTTTGTGAGAAAAAGTTTGGGAAGAGATTTAAAGAGTTTCTCTAAGAGATCTGAATTGATTTAAGTATTGTATTTTTATGTTGAAAAAAGAGCTTTGGTATGAAATACATTCATTTTCAAACAGTTCACCTTATTATTTATCTTTTATACATTATAGCTATCGAAATCACTTCAAATTATCGATAATATTTCAATCAAGATAAGATTAGATGGTTTTTTGAGGGATATGTGCGGAAAAATGTATTAGTTGAATCACAGTTTGCTGTATTTCAGAATAATGTGAGTTTAGCTATTAAGAAGTCGGTGCAGTGAACAGATGTTTAACTGTCAAAATTCTGAAATTTTAATTTAGTCGTTGGCAAGTTTTGCAAATCTTTATAAATTGTAAAAGTACTAATTGATTATTGTGAGATACACAAATTATCTAATATTTATTTGTATAAATAGACGATGACAAATATAATAGATAGAATTTAATAATGACATGAACATAAGTGGAAACAGGATAAATGTCAGTTTGTGGAATGAGGTCAGCATGCGAAAAATTTGTTGAAAGTATTAACAAAGATAATTGAAATGTCACGTTAAACGTCATGAACAATCATTCCAGAAATTATTAATTTCGAGTAGTATTATATCGTGTGTTCCTGTTTTCAATAGATGTTGTTCGAGAATGAGACTTTTCTTTTTTGCTATGATAATCGTAACTTTTGTACATACTCTCAGCAAGCAGGTAAAGGTTCTTACTACATTTTCATGAATTATAATTTACTGAAAGCAGATTTGAAAAGTAATGAGTGATAAATAATTAAAAATTTAGGCATAATTTGCTAGACATTTCAAATAATAAATAACATGCATAATAGTATTAAAAAAGTTTTGATTCATCACTAAATAATGTACAATAGTACCTTTTCTTGCATACTTCATATTGTTATAATACTGAAGTATCGCAGATCACTTTGATGGATCTTGCAATGGAGGTTAAAGGTCACGCAGTAGAGTTCATATATTAATAAAATATGTTCTACTTTGTCTGCATAATACTTCCAGATGTTGTTAGTTTCTTCAGAAGTTGAAAGTACTTATTATTTTGTTGGTAACCTTCCTAAATTCTCATCTCATTATTATCATTAAATAAGCTAATATCAATCAAAGTGTATTATATCATTTGCAAGAAATCATTTTTGGAAAGAAATTGCTTATGAAAAAGCAATATTTGCTGTTAATAAATTTGCTAAGCCATTGTATGCATTTTGAATTCATGTCAATACAAGAGATGCATTCAATATTGAAAAGGATGAAATCGATGATGAATACTTGCAACGAGTGCAGAAGGTGCAAAGAATCATCAATAACTCAAAATTGGCGCAAAGAAAGAAGAAATACAAATGTATCGAAGTAGATGTTAACAACGTCAAGAATGCTGATACATACCATATGGATTCGGTATGATAATAAAATAGATTTAAAACAATCACAACATCAGAAGTTCAATATTACTTGAACTTGAGCTTATGAGGATTAGATTCAGAAAGTCGAAAGGAAAATGAACAATTGCAGCTCTGTAATTCTGTGCGCAGAAGAAATTTTCATTCGCTATTATGCAACAATTAAAGCGTTTTAAAAATAAAAGAACTTTCTGGTGTATGTCTTTGCAGAGTTTTATTGAGAGTTCAGTTATATCTGTTGATAATAATTTTTCTTCTTAATTTGATGCGTCAAGAATAATGCTCACATATGCATCGTTTTTAGTGAATAGCTGTAATATTCAGGAAAAACAAAACAAAGCAATAGTTTAAATTTTGGGTCTGAAAACTTATTTTACGAATAATTTAATAGTAAATATGTAGCAATTGATTACAATGTATAGATCTTCAATTTTTTAGTGGAAGAATTTCTTAAATTATCCTGAAAAAACGACGTTCCCATTGGATTATCATGTCCGTTATGAGCGACCAAAACTTCGACAAGTATTTCTGGAATCACCTATGAATACACTTTCTGCAACATCACTGCAGCCATCTCTCAAAACAATTATTGAAGCACCCCCTGCGGTATATGCTACTGGATTCTCAAAGGCTCCACTAAGATCACATAATACAGCGGGCCCACCGAGGATGCGGGAGACACTCGAAAGTCCCAGCACCATTAAACCACCACTAATTCTATCACCAGAACACTGCAAGCAGGTCTGATATTTTAAGTCCTTTAATGGTTTTCATGTATTTTATTTCATAAATGCAGCGAATCTTTATTATTTTGTGCGAAAAAGCTTTTAAAATCATCGCAAATGAACTAAATAAAAGTAATTTGTTTAAAAATATTTCAAAAATTATGCAAATTGAAATGCACAAGAAATATAATTTTGACAATATTTGGTATAATTAACTTGAAAACAGAAAATGCATATAGCAAATCTACTGAACTGTTGTTTTTCTCTTCATGAGTTATTTTATAAAGAAACTGCAAAGTCGTTAACTTTGCCTGAAAAATTGAGTAGATGAAAAAAAACCCACTGAAATCAGTACTGCTAATGGCTTTAGCAGAAAAAGAGCATATTGCTAAAGCAATGAAAATTTTCTCTAAATACAACTTCTCAAGCATCAAAAATTAATTTGAAATCGTTCAACAGGTGAAATATTATGCAAATATGTACGGGATAATTGATATTCTTGATTGGGTGAAGAAGCATTGCTCATTCGCTAAACTATACCTGCCCAACGCAACGTGTGAAGAAATCAACACTTTAGTCGCATCATGTGGGTATGGAATAAAACCTTCACTAAGTTATTAATCCCTTAATTATCTATTGCTCTCCCTCTTATTTGTTACTACTTTCATCTGAAAACGACAAAAGTTGTCAGCAGTATTATCATATGTAAAAATTAGTTGACTTTTTTAGTTACAGAATTAAATGTGATATTCAACAAATACTTCTGAGAAAAATTAGTGAACAGCACCAACCTAACTATTCCATTCTAAAAATTATATTTCAGTCATAGTCAGTGGCGATGGACCATACTCCTACACTTACCTCTTTCTACTGTTTTTTTTTCTGCAGAAACTTATTTTAACATTAACTGCAAGATCCTTTAGCAGAAAAGATTACAATTAAAATTACCATGCCTGGCAATTAATATGTAATTTCCCAGCCTTTGTTATGATGATAAATTCAGTAATGTCTACTAATAAACACACTGTTTCTTTGAGATTTTCGTCACACTGTATCAAACAAATAACAATGAATTAGAAAAGACACCGATCGCGATATGATACAAAGTAAGTAATCCCTTCCGTGAACTTCAACTTTAATATTTCTCCCATTTAATTTCCAAAATCATGAGAAAAAATCGTTTGCAGATAGTGTCAAAGTCACATTTCACGCACAAACAATTTGATTGTTCTATGATACTTTACAGAATATTCTTACAAAATTCAACCTCCTAAACTATCAAGTTAATCCTAGTCTCGGCAATGGATCAATTCTATTTTTTGCCATAAACAGATCTCACCAATTAAAGAAAAAATATTTCGCAAAGCTAAGTTGACCTTTTATTTCACTTGGAACAGATCATTTCAAATCCCACAAGTAGGAAAGCTTATAAGATTTCGTTCAGATCTCAATACTTTTGAGTACCTGCAATTCAAGACTCGAAGTTCTTAAAATACATATTCTAATTAAAATTTTTATTCTCGCAAACATATCACGAACGAAAATATCCGAGAAAGAATCGGTCGAATTTGATCTTCATTAAGGAAGTCTGAATTCCATACTTCTAATAAATGGCTGAAACTAGTTTTTAAAAGTGATAAAGTAGTCTGAAACGGAATGTGTGATGATAAAAAAAAACTTTTTTCGTATTCATAAGTAAATTAAAAAACATCGTATGTTCCGACAGAGAAATAGCAATACTCAATCAGATCGACGTTAAAAAAGGCAAAGTTTTAAAAAGTAGATACTAATAACTACCAAATGACTCAATCAATAACCAGATCAAAAAGTAACTTGCAAAATTATTAACTGCAGACCTGTATAAACCATCTTCGCAGTTCAGCATTATCCCAAAATGCAGCTTAACTGTAAGTAAAAAAAGAGAAGAATAAAACGGTGAATGGTCTTGATCACAAAAACTATGTAGCGCAAGTGGAGCATCCTCCCGTAGTTTATGGATTTCTGAAATATTTAATGCTAACTACAAAAATTTATGAACACTTCCTATCAGAAATGAGCCAAATCTAATTACTGAAATATATATTACCATCAATAGCTCAACTATGACTCTAATGAAATTTTTGAAAATTGTAATAATTTACCATGTAAAACGATTGATTTGGTATTTTTTGACAACGATTCCTTAATTTCGCGTTCCAGTTCATTTCGTTTCTTTTTTTCATTACAAAATATAGGACTGACTTCATTGTTTCCCGTGATGTTTAAAAATACAAAATTTATTGAATCTGCTAGTGTATCTGCTTTGGAACCTGCGACCAATACTACAACTGGTCCCCGAGCTTCCTGAAAAAAATTTTTTTTTTGTTTGTGTCATAGCAGTGACAATATTGAGCAAAGCTGGCGTTCGATGGTATCGGAAATGAGGTACTCTTGAATAGTTCGATTTAGGTTCTGCCAATACTCAACTTTCAGTCTCTTGGAATTCAATTCCACTATTACTACTAGACTATGTCAACATTTTTTGCAATTTTCATCTAAATCTAAATTACTTTCATCATAAACTGCAAGCATAATGAAGTGAATAATGAAGTGAAAACTCAAATTTGAATGAAAAGCACATTATTAAACCACATAAGTTAGAGAGGCTTGATTTTTATCGTCCCATCCATCATAATCTTCACCAACTGGCCATTTGAAAACACTGCATTACTTAAAAATTGTCTTACCGTAATAGTTAACAACCTTTCTCCAATTAGCCCTAGAACTGCTTGCGTATTATTATTTTTATAATCGTTGGGAAAATCATTCTTCAGAATATGAGCAATTTTTTTCGCATATCTGTAAATTAGTCGAACAAACAATTCAACGCACTTAAAACTTGACTTTGTAATGAAATATTGGACTGTTAAGATGAAATCCTTGTAGCCTAATCAAATATGAAAAAATACAACAGCTGATTAAACAATGAAAAATTAATGTTTAAACAACGAAAAAAAAACTATATCAGTCTTGTACGATATATATATACATATATATAAGGATTTTAATTAGCCAAGTTTGAGGTAACTGTAGACGAAAGATTGTGCTGTTATTGAACGAAACACAATATTTTATAGTAATTTCTGTTTCTATTCTTTTCTCTGCTCTACCTCTGTCTGTTATGGAGATGTAATGATGCGACAATGGAAATGAATGCGAGCAGTTGCGACAATAATAGTAATGGTATCGACAGTCAACGACGTCAGAACGGTGGATATGGTAGCAGAGAGAACATTCCAGCGGACTAGTACATCAGTTAAACTAATGGCTGGAAAGAGTCTCTGGAGTTTCCACATCACAGGCGATTTCGAGGAAGCGAAAAGGAACAACAGACCATAACGACAATGCTCATGCCATCTCTTGTTGCAATACTTCTGAAGCAACGAAAACGAAACAAGAGAAAAAAGTGAAGAATAACACGCATGCTACAAATGAAGAGGAAGCCCGTTGAAAAACGAGATGGAAACCCAAAAAAAGAAGGGTATGGTCGTACAGTCAAAATATCAGCAGTCTGGGGAGAAAATGAAGGATGAACGGAAAAAACCGCATCTGGAATCATAGTGGAAAACAATGGGAAAGCAGATGAGGTTGTGAAAAGCTCCGTGAAAGATGTAGCAGAGCACTCTGCCGTCTTATTGGAACCGGGAACTAGTAGGACGATTACACTTGAAGTTATCACTTGAGAATCGAGGTTCCGCAAAGCAGGTGAAGTGCTGAAGGCGGTTCTTGACCGTTTCGGGAAGATGCCGAGAGGGGGATAGCCCTTGTGCCGCTTCCTGTATTGCGAAAAGTTTCTGTGTGCGAATAGCCTTGAAGAACTGAAGAAAAAAGCGAATGCTGTAATCGTCAGTATTGTAGGACGTCCGTGTTCGCAGAAACGGTTCTTGGAAATTAATTATATATGTATATATATATTTAGATTAACGCTCGGAGGCACCTCCTTCGACAATTGATATGGATTCTACGAGGACGAAGCGAAAACGATGAGCACAACAAATCTGAGCACAGGACGAGTACAGGCAGAATGCCGGAATGGGATCCAGCGCCAGAATTAATAAAGCGAAAACGGAAATTAACCTCCACATTTATTTTATTTTTCATTCATATTTATTTATATAATTAGATATTCAATCCTATTAATTTAAAGAAGAAAAACTCACTTTTTTAATTTCGGCTTGGAATGAATTTCTTTGTCAGCATCTTTAGAAGATGTAGAAGATGGATTTAGAATGAAGACTACTATAGCAACACAAATGAGGACAAACACTGAAATAACTCCTCAACACCTTTCATGTTATTTACACATTAATTATACAATAGTCTCTTGAAAATTTTATTAACTATATAATGAAGTTAAATTAAAAATAGAAATCATCGTTTTTGCGACTAGCTTTATCTTCAGCATGAAAATCTATCTCATTTAAAAATCAATCACTGAATACATTTTCTAAAAATTAAGGGTGAAAAAAGTACATTCAAAGCACTTGAAAATAAATAATTACATGATAAAAGTAAACCTGCTTTAAACAAGTTGGTTTTTGAGAATGATGAACTGAAAGAATCAATTTCTTCATGATCGGATTCATAAGATCTAAATTTAAGATATCTCGAGTGCGTTCTAAAAATAATTTCAAAAACTAGGATGTGAAAATTTTTACGCGCTGAATTTTTTTTGCCCCAACTTATCTAAAATTAAATAAAAACTATATAGATATGATAGGAATAGTATTTTTAAAAAGAACTGAACTGAAGGCGATGAAATGAAAATTTTTTTACTTACACAATACACAATAAACATACATATTACTATCCTCTTCTTCGTTGACAAACTTTCCACTATCTAAAGATGGTGAATTAGTGGTTTCAATTTCGTCTTGATCAGATTCATAAGACCTAAATTTAAGATATCTTATATGTGCAATAAACGATTTCCAAAAATAAAAGCGAAAATCTTTGTATGCTGAAGTTCGTTTCTTACAGCTTGTTAAACTCAAAGCTAAATAAAAATCAAAAACATCAACAAAAAGAAGCTGAATTGATAGTGATGAAATGAAAATTTTGTTTCCTACTCAATATATTGACAATAAACTTACGTATCACTGAAGTCTTTCACGCTGGCAAATTTTTCATCATTTTTCACGAAGTCATTTGAATGTCTTTTGAATGATGTTCTACAAAGTGACCGACTTCTATTATTTGAGCTACGTCTTGTTCTGATTCTTTCTTCCATACTTGATTCTACATATTGCAGTTGAAAACTAGTAGTTGTATGCTGAACTGATCTCGAATATTACAACCATAAAATCAATACAATAAAATACATTGAATAGAATAGAAAAAAATTGTGAATGAACTGTAAGCAAAATTGCTTGAATGGAAGACATTCCTGATAAGGAAACACAAGGACTAGCAATATTACGACTCCCTTCATCTGAACAAACGGCAAGCTACAAAACAAAGAAGCTTCATTTCATTATAATAACCTCAGATAAGCCCTAGCACTAGACACAACACAAATAACTACTTCTTTCATAAAAAAGCTTCAGAAGTTGAACAGTTCCATCTGGCCGAATCTGCAATGAATGTGTCGAAGTTTTATTTTTGTTGCGATATGAAACTTCAGCGTTTCACATGTATTTGCTTCAAAAAATATTATTCTAACAAAAAACTTTGTGGAAAGTACTAGTCTCATGGTATTATTTTTGCCCATAATCGAGTAATAATAACTCGTCAGGACGAAAATGTAAGTCTGTTAAGTAATTAATGCGTGTTACTTGTAGAATATTGAAGTGTGAATAACTTTTCAACAGATAACACGAAATGTGTTTTGCATATGCTACCTAATACTTCACCGGAGCAATGGAAGCAATGTAGCAATGGAAGAAAAATGTAAGCATTGTTGATATTTAAAGAAATTGGAAAGATCGCTTTAATTAAACTCGAATTATTTATAATTTTTACTAAAAATCACAAAGTTTTAATTCATTTATTACAAAACAAAATTGTATTCAGAAATTGGCTTTGAAAATTTCGTTGTTTAAAGAAAATTCGAAATAAACTTTGAGATGAGGTATCCATGATAGAATTTAGAAAGCAGTATGTGAAAATTTTTCTGTAAAGTAATCGAATAAATAGTGATGGATGGATGAATGAGAATTGTATTCATTAACAGTAGGACAATTACTTAAGTTATATTTGTAATTTTAATTTCTGGACAATTACTTAAGTAATATTTGTAATTTTAATTTCTGCCTTTTCATATATTTTTGTATGTAATGAAAATTCTAATGCTTTATTCTTACCTATCTTTGCACTTATGCAAATTTAGCAACTGCTAAAATTGTGGGAGTAAGAATAGAAAAAAGTACAGCATATCAAAGGTAGTGTGATTTTTTACCATCACAGTTGCGTTTAATTTTAAATAATTTTCGCTGACAAATACGCGTTTGATACAGTACTGTTTCGTGTTGTAAATATCAATACCAAAATCAAAGTACAAAATGATAAGGAGAGGAAAAAAATTATCAGTAACTAATTTGCAAGTATACTGCACTTTTTTTGCAGTAACGCAAGTTAATTTTTTCAATTTTATACATAAATTTAGTAAATTTTAGTGCCAACTGCAGCACTCTTTGTTGAATAATCATTTACACAGCAATCGATTCATTAGATTGCTTAAGTTAGTTTACATTTTTGAGTTAATTTTTGTTTATTTAAATATAATACTTTTCCGACTTTTTTTTTGGAGTAATTTTCTTAATGAAATAAAACTTTGGCCCAAATGCACCATCATTAATTGATTCAGAGATCATTAATACAGTTCTAAACTATTTGATACGGTTGGTTCTCAAATAATTGTTCTTTTGGATCTCAATAAACATTTTGCTTCTATTAATATATTTGATCTTCGCAAAATTTGTTTATAAAATAATAATTTATGAATAATAGTTTTTGTGAAATTTGCGAGTAAAATACTCTGCTCAAAGTTATCTACAATAACAAGTAATATTTTTACCATATGACTTCAAGGTGAACTTATAGTTCAAAAGTAATATTGGAAAGTTTAAATAAAGTATTTATTTGAGTGCTTTTAATAATCATTTAAGTAAGCTGAACATTTGTTCATGTTGAGTATTTCGGTCCTTATTTAGAGCAGTTCATTGTGCTCAATTTGCAATTCAACAGAAAGACCTAATTTGTAGGCATAATTTGTTCGCTCTATAATTTCTTAAATACGACTTCATCGTTTTCTCCTAATATTTATTACACTTTTTTATCCCAACAGTTTTTTTGAAATATTTTGTATTACAGAAGAACTTTAGTCTTTAAATTATTGCTAGCATGCAAACTGTGACAAAAACAAAATGGATGCATAAAATTAAATAGCTTTACATACTTTGATTGTATATTATCATAACCAGTGTTGTCATGCGAGATATCAACTTTGAAATAATAATTTGTGCATGCAAAATTATATTGAATTTTAACACATATTCGTTTTAATTTTTTCTCCTCCGAGAATTATTAGGTTAATGTTCGATTTTAAATAGTTCTAAATACTTCACTGAATATCTACTTGTGAGTAAATTCTTTACTTCATAGCCATTTTTGAAGAAACATTTTCGTATAATCACTGCAGTTGATAAATCACTGAGAGTATTTATCATTCTTCAATACTTTTCCATCAGAAACACACTCAGTCATGTCTGTTAACGACAAATTTCAGGCAGCTGTCAGTATCGTACAAAAATTACCTAAAAATGGTAAATTTATTGATTTATCTTGAATGATTATAAAAGTTGTGGTCAAAATCTAGCATTTATATATGTATCGTTTGTTATTGATTGGCTGATTGATTGATTTTTTTATTGTCGTTTAATTTTAGAGAATAATCAATTTGTGCTCTAAAGTTATTTTTTCAAATAATACAGTTGGAGAACAGAAATAAAAAGATGAGCAATTTACTGAAATTTATGGGAAGACAATCTGTACTAGTGCATATTAGATAGCTAGTGTCTACACGATTTTAAGCTTTCAACTAAATATTCAAAGTTTATTCAAAACTGTTGAATTGAATTGTTTTTAGCTTTTAACACTCAGACAACTTTTAGTGATACTATTTTTTAGATCACAAAACAAGTTAATCAAAAATTTGAAGGGCAAGAAAAAGAGAAAACGATCATATTCGTAAATAATTTACTGCAAATCTAAAAAATGAACAAAAATTTAATTAATTCTTAGAATGCACCGTAATCTAATCAAACTGAGTAGTTAAACAAAAATATATCAGTAATTAATTAAGCTGTTAGTTGTTTCCAATTAATCTTAAAAGCTTATTTTTCAGGTCCAATGGAGTTAACAAACGATCAGAAATTGATGTTTTATTCATTGTATAAGCAAGCGATTATGGGCAAAAACACTTCTCCCAAACCAAATTTTTTAAATTTTGTTGAAAAATCTAAATGGTTTGTTAACATTTTAATCTCATATTGATTTGTTTGCTAAATCATTTTGAAAAGTTAAAATAAAATATTCACTTTTGTGTATAAAAAATCAAAAAGATTAAAAGCAGTGAATAGCCTACGTAAACTTTCAGGGAAGCTTGGACAAAACTGTCTGACATGTCTTCAGATGAAGCTAAATTGAAATATGTTGAAGCAGTAAAAGAAATGATTGAAGCAATGTCGAAAACGTTAAATGTTACAGAATGGCTAAAAAATATTGACACCGAATTAGCTCAAAAACTGGAATTGATAAATTATGATTAACATCTTCAAATCTATGTTAGTTCGCAAATTAACTGAAAATAAGCCACGTAATAAACTTACTTTATTAATATTTTTTATGAGGAAGAATAAATGATTAAGCATCAATTATTGAATGTATATTAATTATTAATTAACTGAAAAAAGGAAAGATTTTAGTACATTTTCAGAACTGAAAAAATCATAACTGTTCAATATTAAAAAAGTAAATAAGCGACGAAATGCAAATCAAATACATTTGATTGAGAGCACAATATTCTCATACTATTTGTGTACATTTTAAAACAAGCAATAGCAAAATGAAATTATAGAAATGGAAAATTTAAATAAGCAACGATACTATTCAAAATATGCAAATCCAGTCACGTCACAATTCTGTGCGCTTTTTGCGATCTACTTCTGCAAAGTGACATGTGACTTCCTCTGCATGCAGCTCACATAGAGCTACATCATCTGGCCATCCAAGTTGCACAGTATGCACATATCGAAAACAAACTGTGTAAAAACTAAAAAACAGTAATTATTTTACAAATCCATTTTTATGTGACAAAAATGAAGGTGAAAATTCCCTTCAAACTCATAAAAATGTCATCTGCGTCGCTTAGTTATAAAATATCACAGAAACTAATTTGATGTAAGCAATCTGAGCAATACAGAGATGCAAAAAAAAATGCTTTTTAGCTATTTTCGGAGGTTTGATCTGAGCGATTCGAAAATGAGAATATATTGCTAAAATGCGTGTTTCCGAATTATTCAGTTATCGCCTTTAATCTTCGTTAACTCAGAAAACCATAAGATTTCTTTTACCTCTTATTTGCTAACTTTCTTAATTACCTTTTGTTAATTGCTATTTTCAAAAACATAATAATATAATACCTATGTAATATTAATACTAATATTAGGAGTAATAATAATAATACTAGTACTAAAACTCACTGTTTTTTTGAAAAGTGGGTATGTTTATCAGATTTAATGCAAACAGGGCATCTTACGATGAGATCTTGCGCACGGACTATTTTATTCATATATAATGAAAAGTTAGAAGCCATGAATGAGTACTGCAATGAATATATGTTAGTATTATAGAAAAACATATGAATAAATTGTGATCTAGAAACATGATTGACTAATTTTTTGTTGAGAAAAAAAGAGGAGTGCTACTTTGGCAAATTTATGCTAAAAAATGAATGAATTTATAAATAGGGTCAGTTCAAAAACCTTACCCTTAAAAAGATTTAGATTAATTATAAATGAATATTTCTTCGTTTTCCTAATTTCATTAAAGAAGTTTACAATTACATAAACATGATTTTGTTTGGATACACGTTCTATTGGATTACCCATTAAACCCATACACGGCTTTAAAACTTGAAAATCACGTTTAAGAGTTTCTAATGGTTTCCAGTCTTCGTGACATGGCACCTGAAGTAGTTTCATATTGAAATACAGCAATTCATATTTATTAAGTGAGCTTCGATTTTAAATTTTTTTTCATATGCACAAAAATATGAACATTTTAACGAGAAAAAAACTAAAGATTTGAGTGAATACTTTTTCTGACTTTTTTACAAATAAAACTATAGCTATATGTTAATGTTTTGAATTATTAACTGTAAAACAATTTATTTATTCTTTCAGTAAACAATCAGTAATCAGCGACTTTAACTTTATTAATAAGTAGTGCTTGCTAAATTTAAAAATAATAAAAATGCTTTTTATTTCAGTAAGAATATTATTAAAACAATTTATATGTATGAAAAAATGTATTTCATTGTTTGCAAACTCATTAAGTCCGTAACAATATTCCAACTTTTCTAAGCTTTTACTTTAATGTTTAAAACACAACGAAATACTTTACTTTCAGATTAAAAGCGCGGGTCAATAACATTTCAAACTGTTATAATTATTTATTTGCCGCGAAGCACATGAATTAAATGGTTATAATAATTTTTTAATATTTTAACTAAAAATAACCGTTTCTATGCGTGTTGCACATTCTGCATTTCTTGAGTGTATATTGTGTGGGATAAGAGGTTTTTCTTCACGTACTGCGTAAGCTCCTGGCCCTTGCATATAAGCACAACGGCTCTGCAGCATGCATGATAAAATGATTGTAGCAAAAGTTTAATCTACTTTTTGATCCAAATAATAATAGCTTTTAGTTTTCCATCAAAATGACGCAGTAAAGTAATTTGTTGTACATAATTTAGTCATAAAATGCTTCTATTTTTCAGTCATTTTCTCGTTTATCACTTAAATAGACATTATATTATCTCAAAGAAAATTACGTAATCAAACGTGTCATTCACTGCATAACGGCAATGCCTATAATATCGAGAGAAATGTTTGTACGCTAGAATCATATTGTCTTCACGGACTCGTTTTTTTAACTCAAACTGCAATAATTAATAAAATAAAGCTGCATGTTTGATTCTGGAATCTTTTTTTTTTCGCATTTTAAAATCGAATCTTTCTGCAAACTCATTAAGTTTGTAACACTATTCCAACTTTTTTAAGCTAATTTTCTTTACTTTGAATACTTTTGATATTTAAAATACAATGAATTATTTTACTTTCAAATTAAGTTCCATACTATACATACTGTAGTATAGAATTTAATTTGCAGTTTGAGTTAGAATCGTTTAACTTTACTTCTTTAATTTCAAGTCAGTGAGTATATTTTTCGTCTTCTTCAAAAGTTGTTTACTCAAAAATGAGCTAAAGAACTTACTATTGAAAACTCTGTGCTCCGAAACAATCATGTCATTTCTATCCTATGGAAAAAAATCCAGTGCATCTAATCATCTTGTTTTTAAATTCTATACTAAAGTAAATACTTTTGCGCATCTTAACTAAAAATGACGGAAAAACTTACAAGATGAGAAGTTAAAGCTACAATAGCTATACTGTGAACAATAAATAGTACTGTTTGTCCAATCGCCAATAATTTGCATTCTCGTCGACGAAACCATCTATGCACGAATAATTTCATTTTCTCCTGCGATACCATAACTAAAACGTTTTTCAGTGTGAGAAGAAAACTGTGCAATTCAAACAAACTTCTTTTTTGATAAGTAATTGTTAACTATTAGAAAGAATGAATGCGATGAACAAGTCAAAAAAAAGTTTTAAAAGATGAGATTTAACAAATTAAAAAAGTATCATGATATTATGAATAATTCTTTGAATTAATTCCAAAATAATTCTGAAGTAAGCGTTGAATCTGATTAGAAAAATCCTTTTATGAACTGATTATTATTATTATTATTATTATTATTATTATTGTTATTGTTATTATTATTGTTATTATTATTATTTAAATTGATCACTTTAACTACGCAATCAAAAGTTTATTTTGGAACTGAAAAATATTTTATCAAAAAAATATTTGTTTGAATTAAATTCCTTTCAAAAATGAGAAGGTTTCAGTGTATTTGAAATCTGGACTGAAGCCTTCAACTTTATTCATTTTGATTTGATGAAAATAAAAGCTCACTTGAAAAATATTATAACAGCCGCAGAAAACAACCGATCAGCACAGCGACGCAATTTGACCTGATTTATAACTAAGGATTTGGACTAAACCGCTCACATTGTGTCACTTAGCATTAAATGAAACTAATAAATGCAAATTTCTATTTTAGAATACATGCACAAATACTTTTGTAACAAAGTTATTATTGATTTGAAAGATGTTCGCAAAATAAACTATCAAATAAATATTTGAAATTTATTGAAAATGTATCAAAGTCGAAGTACGATTCTTTTGGAGCTCTTCTTCAAAATTTTGAACTTGACTGTACTTTTAAGCAAAAATAAAAATTTAAGTTTAACTCAAATTTAAACATTAAAAGCCTAATTAAAGAGTGGTTATTATTTGTTTCAAAAATGCTTTCAAAAGTAATTATGTTTACCATTTTTTACAAGGTAATAATAGAAAATTTTTAACTGCTATAACTTTTACACTCTTTATTATTTATTCCATTTAAACCTAATATTGTATCAATTAGGGGATTTGTAAAAAAGTAAGAATAGAGTCTGAAAAGCAATTTAAAAAAGTAAATGATAAGGATAAGCATAGTTTTTATTAGCTAATAACTTATGCATGTTTAATAAAGTTTACTTGACCCAATTTTATCCAAGTTTAATTGTTTAGCTAATTTGTTTCAATCACTTTGCAGTAACTGAAGCAGTGAACGAAAACATTGCTTTTGACTGCAAAATTTATTTTATAAGGTTTGTTGCAAAAATTAAGTTTTCTTTCAAAAATAATTGCAAGGTCGATGAATATAATTGCAAGTAAATTACAACATAATAAAGGCTATTCTCGGTTTTCATTTCTAATTCTTTTATTAGAACAAGTTTTAATTACCATAAAATAGTAGAAAATATCATTTTAGGAAAAAGCATTTCTACAAAAATATTTTGGATGGTTTTGCTTGTCTTATTTTATTCAGGAAAAGTAACTTCTTCATACAGTAATAAAAAATTTTTAAATGATTTGTTTTTTATGATTTTTGATTTAAAACATTGATTGGAGCTTGCCAGTTTTTATTTTATTGAATATAAAAACAAAGCATATAATTATTCATAGCTAACTTGAAAAATATCTGTGTGCAAGTTAATTGACTTGATTTTTGTGTACTTCAGAATTAATAATGCTTTTGAATGAGTTGAGCATGTAGCTACATATTTATTCAAAGCATAAAAGTTCAACAAGAAAGAAACTTCTGAAGTTTCACTAAACTGATGACTTTTTTCTCAGATGGATTTTGTCCAACAAAATGGGTAATTTTTTTTAGGTTCATCTGAAAACAAAAATTTTTGAGATTAACATCCATATAGTACTTTTATTTGTTATGACTTTGATGCTTACATTCAGAAGAAGCGAATTTCTTCGCATTCACAAAACTTTTTTTGCTATTTTAGACCTCATCGATGTTTATTTAATTTAAAAATGCTGGCAAAACACCAGTCCAATATGAAAATTTTTATTTTTATACTAAAAATTCTGGAATTTTTTATCATTTTCTGCTTTCAAAGCACTTTCAATTACTTTTATACATGCATTGTTACTATTTTCTATTGCCTAAATTTTGTCAAAAAAAGAAACAAAAGAAATTTTCAGAAAACAAAAAAATATTTGCACAAACTAACATTTATTTACTTGTTCTACTATGGGTTGCAATATTTCTGTCTGCAGATTTGCTTGTAGAATCCTATGGATTATTTTGACCGACTGTCCTTGAATCCATTATCACTTCCACCTCACTACCAATTTCGTGAACTTCATTCAGGTCATCATCAAATACGATGTGATCTTGAGATTTTGGCGAATCTATTTCAACATTCTCCAAGTCGTGCGTCTGCAGTTAATACTTACCCGTCAAGTTATCGAAAGTAATAAAATAAAGTTCTTTTCTATTGCTTCTTAAAGTAATAAATGAATTTTAGCTTATTTTCATTTTAATTATATGAATGACATATTTATATATGTTAATAAATTTTGTGAGATATAAAAAATATGCATTGCAAGTTTTCTGCATTTTTATAAAAATTTTTGAAAGAGCTAACAATATGAAGAGACCCAAGCGGCCTGATGTAATGATCATCTAACCGCTTGGATTCTCATTCATTTCCCACATTCATTTCATAGTTATTTTTTTGAGTAACTCTGCTTACAGAGACTTGAAAACAAATGTAAATATTCTATATGAAGTAATGATGATAAAGTTCATTCTGAATTTAACTCATCTATAAGTGAAGTTTATGAAGAGTTTATCAAGAAGTAAAGCAGAAAAATGAATTAGCCTACATCAGTACTTACTGTTATGTATACAGTTTTGTTAAGTCCTTCGGTAGTTTGATGAAAAACTTACCAAAGTAACTGGTTCGTTAATAAAAACTTTTAAGGGCCCTTTGTATTTGAATTGTCCAGCTTTGATCTTATCTGGAGCCCAATGGAATTCCGGTGCAATCACAGTTGAACTGGTCATCACTGTAGAAATTCCTTATAGAAGTTCATTTTTCTCATAAAGCAAACTTTGTTAAAAGACAAATTTATGTTAACTGTAACCAGAATTTCTGATTAATATTCATAATTATATTAATATTTTGTGCCTCTTTACTAATATCCTTTATTACAATGCAACTAATATTAGATGATTAAACTTTACTCATTTAAAGTTTATAATTAAAAGTCTGTAAAAGTTTCAGTGCATAATAGTTAACCTCCATTTTGTTTTTTAATGCTGATCATCTTTTTTTTATATTTAACGCATAAAAATCCTGTAATGGCGACAGCAAATATAATTAAAACAATAACAGCAACTATAATACCCAACAAGCCTTTTTTACTTTCCGTCTTGCCAACAATTTTTAATCTAAAATTTCCATAATTAAATTCATTTAAATAAATAAATTATTCTTTCTCTTTTTCCACTCGAAGGATTGAGCAAGTTTTCATATGAAGCTAACATGCACATATAACAATTGGCAATTACGCATATTACGTTAACTTTTAAGACTTGGTAGAATTATACGCTTGCATTTAAACCATTAAATATTGAAGAAATTCTTAAATTTCTAAAATTTTAGAATGAAAAAATTTTTAACTGATAGCAAAATATACAATCGAAAACTATGAAAATATTTTTGGCTTCATGAATTGCTTTGTTCACTTTACTTGATGCACACTGTATTTTGAAAGATACAATTTTATTTTCAATATATGGTAAAAAATGCGTTGTTCGGCTTAATTTTCATGATTACGTTTTGCTGTTTCAGAAGCTTTAAGCGTTTTAACTTTCTAGCATTCTTAATTTATGACTTTTTTTGAGGTACAAATTTATTCTATGGTTTGATTTTTGTTGAATAATGAAAATGATTATTCAAATAAAAAGTATTCCACTCCACTCCATAAAACACATCATAATTTAGAAACTTTCAGACTAATGAAAGCATTTGAAAGAAATAAAACTGATTAAACTTACTTTTTTACCACTTTTTTTGTAGAAAATGGAATAATTTTATTTCTCGATGCAACAGTAAAATATAGAGGTTTTCTAGATATGAGGAACTTCCCTAAATTTTTCGCTTAATAATTTAAAATAGAAAATAGACCAATTGTAAGTGGTAAAATTTTGAAAATGGTCTACGTATGTGTCACTGTGCGAAATAGCAGACAAATGAATGATGCATTGAGAAGAGTAAGTTTAAAACGCTTGCTTACTTGTGGTTGGAAATATTACTGCAGTTTTCTTATCTTTTAAAGGAGATATTTTTGCTCTGAAATACGCAAAATTAGAATTGTTTGAGTTTATGCAATAAGCTGGATATTAAAACAATCAGTACAAGAGCATAAATAAATGTAAAACAATTTTCATTTGTTCTTGAGCAATTAATTAGTTTTGAGAGTTATAAATGCATTTGTGTAGTTTAATATTTAATGAATGCAATGAGATAAATTTAAATGATAAAAATAAGTAAATCTTACTGAGTGGTTGTAATTCTGATTATGTCAAATTTTTGTGGCATTTCGAATTCTGTGGTTGTTTTGTCGACGATATTCGCATCAACTGGAACTGTACGTTCTACAGCTATATTCCTAATGATAAGAGTCGTGGGTGAAGGCTTATGAACAAGTTCCACTTTTTTTTCAAATTTCTTCATATCTTCCAGTAGATCACTTTCATTGCCACTGGATATATTTCGTTCCTCCAGTGTATTTATTTGCTTATTTCTAATATACGCAAGTAATTCTGATGATTCTGAATCTGGCTGTAGTTCTGCTGGTGTTTTCGTTGTTGACTGAGGTCGTTGTGGATATGATGGTCGTACATTTGCTTGTTGTTGTGGATATGATGGTCGTACATTTGCTTGTTGTTGTGGATATGTTGGTCGTAAGTTTTCTTGTTGTTGTGGATATGATGGTCGTAACTTTGCTTGTTGTTGTGGATATGATGGTCGTAAGTTTGCTTGTTGTTGTGGATATGTTGATCGTAAGTCTGCTTGTTGTTGTGGATATGTTGGTCGTAAGTCTGCTTGTTGTTGTGGATATGTTGGTCTTAAGTTTGCTTGTTGTTGTGGATATGATGGTCGTAAGTCTGCTTGTTGTTGTGATTGTACTACATGTTTAGTTGAAATCGTTATAGTCGATATCTGTGTTAATGTACGTTTTCGTTGAAGTGCTGTTGTAAATAACAGTGATTGTGAATTTCTATTTTGCTTTTGTTTCTTTGCTAACAACTTATCCGAGCTAATATTTCTTTTTTCTGGACTATGAATTTGAGATTTGCTTTTGTTATTATGACGCACTGATATCGTAATTACGTGATTCTTTATCGTCTTAATTAATGACTCTTCATGATGACTGATATTCATTCTCTGCAAATTCATAAACATGATTCTGTTATTTTTCTAAAAATTATATTCCAACCTTGATTATTGTTAATACTTTTCATTCTTATATAAATTTATTGCACAAATAATCAAAAACTTTAAAATTGTAAAATTTATATCGCCTTATTTAAATTTTCTCTAATTTTATCATGTTGGTTCATTTTTTTGATGTTTTTGCCACTAACATTTGTTTTATTAGGATAATTTAAAATCAATCTGCTTGTCGATTTATTTTTATTCTGCTTGTAATCCTGTCGAGTCGCTTTTATCTGACCAGATTTATGTGTGCCATTTCGCTGAGATGAGTTAATAATTGCTATTTTGAATATAAATTGGTTAAAATTTTCAAGTATAAAGATTTGAGTTAATTTAAAATTAAGCTGCTTATCGATTTATTTCAAATTTTAAATCGAAATATTTATATCTCTTTACTCAGATTATTTTCAATTTTATCATGTTGGTTCATTTTTTTGATGTTTTTGCCACTAACATC